GAGGGCTCTTCTTGGTAACCATGTGGTGACTGCTTCCTTATTTGCTTTTCGCCTCTTTGGAGGATAATAATGGGTTGAGTGCGTGGAACCATGTCTGACACGGATATGAGGCATCCACGTTCGTCGGTCGTGCTCTGTGTGGGCGTCATTGTCATCCAATGTGGATCCGTACACAGAATAGGCATCAGTGCTGACCGGTCGATGAATGCGGATGCCTCACACCCGTGTCAGACACGGTCCTGTGCTCTTGGCCCATCATGATCCTCCAAAGAGGCGAGAAGCAAATAAGGAAGCAGTCACTACATGATTACCAAGAAGAGCCCACAACAGCTGAAGTTGACACCTCCACACCACTACATGACGCTCTCTTCGATCGAAGCCAAGGTCTCTGTCCAATGTGCCATCCGACGCCTCCATAAAGCAATGTAGTACTCTTTTTGGCCAAGGCCGAGGTCTCTACTCAGTGCGTCACTCAACCTCGACCACTATGGCCTTGAGAGTGGGGAAAAGTGATGTAGGTGCACATGGAAGGCCCTGGATTGTGCCATGTGGCATTGGTCAGATGGGATCCTAGTCGTCCATATCTAATTGCTTCCAACCACTCTATGGCAAGGTCAGCTATAAAAGGGGGTGCCTAGCTCAAGGTAAAGCCATCTTGCTCATTCTGGCTCTCTTGCATTCATAATATCGAGAGACCTCTTCTGAGCTCTTAAGGACTAAGCTCTAAGCTCTCGTCTCAAGCCTGATCCAACCCCTCTTTAGCACTTGACTAACTTGATCGTTGGAGTCTCCACCCCTAGGATAATACCTAGGGCCTCTGACATGTACTCTTCTCCTACTCATAGGTCGGACCCATTGACCTCGGATGTCTGTGAAGTTACCTTGTTTTCCTCAGCCCCATCTTTGGCAGCAACATATCCTAAATAGGATTGGTACAAATTACCAACTTAACTCTGCTGCTTGGAATGAATTCCAACCCCCATATCCAGACAACTCTGGGTCAGGGTTTGTTATTCCTTTGGATGCTCAGTATATTCTGTGATGGAGGATTAACTAGCTTGACCATCATCTCCTTTGGCTTTGTGTGCATTGATAACTTGGGTTCTTATGTAGGTTCAGCTGGAGGGTCTTTTGAAGCTCAAGGGAATGTAGAAGAAGTTAAGCTTATAATCATCTATAAAGCTTTGTCAAAGGCGGTCTTGGAAGGTTGGTCAAGGGTAGTTTCACTAGTGTACTGCTTAGACTCCTTTCTGGTGGTCAATAGGCCCTAAAGTTTAAATTTCAATTTCTAAAGTTTGTATAGATTTTTTTTTTTGGTTTGATCACCAGCCTACCTGGTTGCGAGATGATAAGAACTTTATCTCTTTTAGTGGGTAATATAATCTTTTTATCTATCAAAAAAAAAATGAAATACCCACCATATATTTCCAAACTTATCAATTAGTTGTGCAATCCTTTTACTTAGCAAAATCTTAAGGCCCAATTTGGAAGGAATACAAATACAGATGTATAGAAAGTAAAACCTTGTATTTTACAAATACAAATATGTAGAACAATATTTTTGAACCACCGTTGATCTGGATGATCAGACCATTCAGACCAGGAATTGTTCAGGCAACTGGTTCCGCTTTACTCCAAACTCAGTCTTCAGCCAAAACTGTTGAATTGGTTAATGATCCATCGACTTGGACGGTCGAATCATTGACCCATATAACAGTTTTTTGCTGTTATTTATTTTAATTTTTTATTTTTTTTGTCAAAACAGGCCATCTATTCAAATTGGATGGTCAAACCATCAACACAGAAACCGATGGCCAAAACTGTTTCAATTCCAAATTGATTTTTAAAACATTGATGTAGAATATAAAATTCTTATATGTATTTACATACATATTTGTATTTGTATTCTTTCCAAACTTGAATCTAAAAAGAAAATTATACTCAAAACTTATCTTCATCAGGCCTTGCATTTCAAGCAACAATCCATCTGCCTATTGGGTTAGATCATGCTGCTTTGCATCCTATAAAAGTACGAATTGGACCCATGTCCTCAATAATATGGGCAACTTGCATATAGAAGTTTAGTCCGTGTTCAATCATGGATCGATTAAATCGTCAATAATGTAAGGTCATATATATCGACCCAAATCAGATCCGAATACCATCAGTACCAAGTCAATTCATGTGAACTAATGCTTGGACGAGTTAACATGAATTTGCCTAAACACAGATGGCATGGTTTGACGTGACTGGCATCTTAGCCATTAGCAAATACTGTCCAATTGGAGTGGGACGTGAAACCAGCAAGCTCACTGGATCCCCATTTCACCACTTATCTTTCAGCCCATAAAACCCGGAAAACTCCACCCGTGAGTTAGGTCGATTCTGGGTCAAGATAAGATTCTATCCTGAAATGATAGATAATGGTGCATTTGAGAAGAGTGCAAAAATAAATATAATTGTAAATACAAATCTTATCATTTGTCATTAACCATGCATACTTGTATTTTTGTTCTTTTCAAACCGAGATTAAATGTGTAGATTTTTTTTGAAAGACAAATGTGTGTAGTATTAGAACATGGATTTGATTCTCACAAAATCCTTCCTCACACTTATGCATTGGAAACATCTCAATAATCAAGTTTCAAAGTATTGATATGTATCGACCAATGGTTTATCGATATGCCCCTCTAGAGATTGTATCGTGTCAGCCACCGGTTTAGAGGGTAGTTGGGCCTTAAACCGATTCCTCTAAACCGGTTTCAAAAAAATAATAATAAATAAAACTTAAAAAAATGTACCAATACAGGCCGATACACCCTACCGATATATCGACCTGTGTTGATATTTAGAACCTTGTCCATACTTGTGTGATTTTATTTATGGGGGATATTCTTAATGCACGACGACTATAAGGGCTGTGAGGATGGTGCAAGTTTGGATATTGTGAGAACAAAATCTGAATCCATAGAACTAGTCCCAAACCAGACCCTATATAGATCATCGGACCGATAAGACCCAATTATAATTGTCATTTATACTTTCAACCTGTAATTTGACAATAAGCCCACTCATTTATTAGGGGTGTACATGTTTGACAACATGGTTGGTTTTGTTATTAAAGAAGAAAAAAAAGACAGTTAGCGCATTAGGCTTAATTTGGAAGGAGTACAAATACAAATTTATAGAATGCAAAATCCTGTATTTTGTATGTATTTATACTGTACATATTTGTATTTGTACTCCTTCCAAACTGAACCTTAATAAAATTATATTGTTTTTGTTGTTATGGCTGTGGTCCAACACCTCCTAAATTGTCATATATGGAAATGATAGCTTCATGATATTACATACACAACTTAATTATATTAGCATGATTTGTAAATTGTAATAATATACTATATATAGTTTAAAATTTATCATTATAAATTTACGATTTTAATTTTATAAATATTATCTTTTACTAGACACATTCAATTATTAAATTGAAGAAAAATTGTTAATTCACTTAAACTGCATTTGTTTCGGGTGTAAATGAGAATCGGGATAAACTTTACACCCTGGTTCAAATTTCCCTGTGTTTGTTTTCGGTGTTGTTTTACAAGTAAAACTCCACTTAGATGAGTTTTACATCGAGAATCAGTGGAAAGTTACCACCTATAAAATTGATGTAAATCTCCTATCTTCGGTGTAAAACTCTGCAACGGTCAAATAGCTTCTACTCCATTTGAATAGGAAATTATGGAAAGCGCCCACCTATCTGACCTTACCACCAACCCCGTACCCACAAGATCCAGAAATCCAAGGTCTTGATCGTTTCTAGGATCGTGTGTTCTTCTCCAATCACAGGGGGCGACGGCCTCACCTCCACTTCCCCCATCTTCGACTGTTGTTTCTGCTGCTGTCTCACTGGTGTGGTTCCATGAACCAACAATGACTCTTTGATCTGATATTCAGGATCTCTGGATCTTGACTTCAGTCTCCAGTTCTGAAATGCAGAGTACAACAGGATAGCCAAGGGTGCAACTAGCAGTATGAAAAGCACGGCGACAAAAGCGATGGAAAGAAGTCGGCTATGATTTCCAGTGAATGAGACTAGGGTGGGTGATGTGGTAATGCTTCCTCTGCTCTTTAGATAGATCCCCTTTTGCTTAGTTGTAACTGGTAAGTACCCAGTTTATATGACTCTGAGCTGCATGTGTAAAAACCAGGGATAATGGCAACTTGGGGAGGGAGAAGGCGGAGGCAGAGCCCATTTACTCACCCCAAAATTATATAATTAATTCATAAACCTACCATTTCAAACATAATACCCCCAATAAATTCAATTAAAACAGAGAGCCCGAATTGCATTGGTTCGGTTTGTCCAACCTACTTATAGCTTTTAACTCTCTCCGTTTTTCTTTCTATTAAATTGTAACGAACTAAACAACTTCTCTCAATTTTAGTCTCAAGACATCTAACAAATTATTTTATCCCTACCCCAACTTATAATAGTGTGCATCGCTCAGTGGCTAACTTTGGATAGACATCTATCTCTCCATCAAATGAACCCCAAACCTTCTTGCAACCCAGGATCCCAACCGTCCAAAACGAATCAACCCATGAATGATCAGTGATCATCAAACCCAAACAAACCTTCCCCTGCAAAATCCATCCATGAACCATATACAACACAAACACAACGCATTGAATCCAATTAAAGATCCTCCGTACAGCAAAACATCTCATCATCCCAACCGTCCAAAACGAACCAACCCATGAATGATCAGTGATCATCAAACCCAAACAAACCTTCCCCTGCAAAATCCATCCATGAACCATATACAACACAAACACAACGCATTGAATCCAATTAAAGATCCTCCGTACAGCAAAACATCTCGTCATCCCAACCATTCCACCACACACCACTTGTTTATATAAGCGACGCACCCTAAACAGTCCCTACGCACGGAAAGAAAGAAATAAAGAAGGTAGCGACTACAGCAAAAAAACACAAACACTCCCTCCGGGGCTCTCTTTCCTTGTAAATCCCCAGCTTTGGAGGAACCCACACGCGACAAACTATTACAAAACAACGCAGTACACATTATCACTCACCCTCTCCTCCTTCCTCAAATAAACTCATAAAAAAACCCTAAAAGAAATTAAAAAACAAGCGAAGCTTCGTGGAAGCTCTCAGTCTCCTCCCATGGCTCCCCCTCCATTTAACGCCCCCTCTATCGCTCCTCCTTCCTCTCAAACCCTTCTTTCTTCTCCTCTTCTCCCTCCTCTTTCCTCTCTTCCTTCTGCCCCTGATTCTCGTTTCGGCTTTCAACCATGAAACTGATCAATCTCACCCCGAAACACCTGTTTCGGACGAGCAAGAAGAGCAGATCCGTGTCCCGGTCTGAGTCGGACCCACAATCGTTCAGCTCCGGCACGTCATCATCATCGGATTCCACGATGATCCAGATCAAAGGAGGCGGCGGTGCTACCCCCAAAAGCGTCCTCCGCTCTTGCTCTCAGGAAATATCGGGAGACTGGTCCGACTTGTCGGCTGCCAATACGCATTTGGAGCACCTCCAAGCGTTTAAGCTCATCGACAGAGACGGTGACGGGAAGGTAACCATACACGAACTCGAGGGCCTCCTTAGTCGTATCGGTGGCGAGCCGCCTAGCAAGGAGGAGATGCTACTGATGTTGACGGAAATCGATCAGGATGGTGACGGGTGTATAAGCTTGGAGGAGTTCGAAGCCATCAGCTCATCTTTGGTGCCGGCGGCTTTGTCGGATCTTCGTGAGGCGTTCAATGTCTTCGACGCCGACCGCGACGGGAAGATCTCGGCGGAGGAGCTGTTGGGCGTGTTCTCGGCAATCGGGGACGACCGATGCACGTTGGAAGATTGCCGGCGAATGATCCGCAGCGTCGATACGAACGGTGATGGGTTCGTTTGTTTTGAGGATTTCTCGAGAATGATGGAAGGACGGATTAAATGAAGACAAATGGGAAAACAATTTGTCGGATTTTCGTCAGAATTTGTTTGTATTTTTATCGGACGAGCACAGCCGTACATTTTGAAGAACCTGAACAAATTCCAAGATCAAAGATCCCGATCCAACGACTTAGATCATTTGATCAAAGCAGCAGATGATGTGTAATTCTGTATCCTATCTTTGCTTATCCAGCCAATATAGAACGAGTGGTCGCTTAATCATCAATCAATTAATGGAAATCTGATCTCTCTCTATCTGAGCTTAAATTAGTGGCCACTGAACTAGCTTAATTATGCTAATCTGGTTTTGATGCCAGGCTCCCTTGCAGTTCTATTTGTATCAGTACAAATGCATGAAAGTGCAAATGAAAAAAATGCAATTTCTGGTTTATTTTTGTTTTTGGGTTTTACCTAGTTTTTGACTTTTTGTTTAGGTTTATTTCAATTCATTGGCAATGCAAAGAAATAAGATGAGGCAAAAAACTGAACCAGAAATAACCAGAATTTTCACTCAAATCATATGCACCTTTTGGTTCAATTTGGGAAGAATGCAAATGCAGATATATTATATACACTACAATTATAAGGTTTAGAAATATCATACTCTATATATTTGTATTTGTATCCTTCCTAAACTGAGCTTCATTTTTTGCATCAGTGCAAATGAAATTACACTACAAACAAACAATGCTAATGGAGGAGATTTATTTATTTCTTTTGGTATCTAGGAAAATGAAGGAGATGGGGATTGATCAACATTGGTAATAATTTAGTTTATCAAGGCAGCAGGATTCCCTTCACAGTAGGGCAGTGTTCACTGTAAAATTGTATTTAATTGTTGATTAAAAACTAAGGTAATCTAGGTTTTATGCCCTTAATTTTATCTTAATTTTTTAATTAGTCCACCAGAATGTACACAGGAATGTCTTAAAAGAAATCATGGATTAGAGTGTGTAACAGGAGGGATTTATTTTATTATCATGATTTTGATATTATTTTAATTCATGCCAGATATTTTTATTAGTACTTACAATTAACAAATTATTTGAATGGACCCCACATTTTATTCATCCTCCAATAACTAAATAAATAAACATAATTGTAAATTTGGATTAATTAATTAATTAATTAATTTTCTTATAATTTTTGGGGTGAATTTTAGATTAGGACATAAGAATGAATTCATTCATCTCCTCTTAAAAGAGAAAATGCATTGAGAGACAAGAGAATGCTTTGTAGAAGAGATCAAAAGTTGCCCTACTTTCCATTGGGCAATTGAAGCCATGCTGATTGGGGGTGATTAATGGTTGGAAGGTTTTGTTTGGAGGGTTCTGAAGATGTATCACTTTGGCCTGTCCCTACCATCCTGAACTCACTGAAAAAGAAAGCCCTTGAGATTGCTGCAACTGAAAACACAGCACATGGTCCAAGACCATTTTTCTTGTTTTGATAGAGCTCAATGGTAGGGCAGGATTCAGGTAGTCGACCCCAAAGCCCAAATTATTGGAGTTAAAAGCTGGATTGAATTGAGTTGTATTGTTGGAAAGGCAATGTTAGGGATGACTGAAAATCTGAAACTGATAGTGATGAATAAAGGTTAGGACTTGGGAGTGGTTGTGTACTTAATAGCTTTTGCAGAGACTCTGATAGTGATGAATAAAGCAGCTGTTTGGCTCCATTTGTTTTGATGCAAGGGAGGAGAGTGAAGAAAAAAGTTCTGCCCTTTATGAAGAGAAAGGAAACAGGTTTAAAGCAAAAAGAATGCAGATCATCTAGTTGTGATTATTCCTATTAACAAAAGGAAGTGGTTTCACTTAAGCTTTCAGAAGTCAAGATGTTCAGAATAAAGCTGCTTCTCCTATACAAGCAATTCAAGTAACCTAATTCATTTAACTGAAACTGAACTAACATTCAGATCATTATGGCGATGTTTGGTATTTGGTGTTGTGCAATCATTGCATTTATGCATTAGACGTCGGGAAAATAATGGTTTGGACATGAAGGCCCCGTTTATTTTTCGGGAAATTGGAGGGGAAAAAGTTGGCCAATAGGAAATTGATTCCTGATGATTAACTTTACAGTGTTCTTTTTTTGGTAAATTCTGAGTCCCATGGTAAAATAAGTTTTTCTGAATAAGTGATTTCATTCTAACTTTGGATTTTTATGAGTAAAAGAATCATTATATTACTTATATAGGAATCAAAAAAACATGGGGAAACAAATTTACCCGGGTAAGTGACATTTTAAAATTTTACAGTTCAGTCCACCCCTAGGGTGGAGCTAAGATTTCTAGGGTGAACTGAATCTTACCTGTGGATTGATGTCAAATTCACGGGCAGAATGTGGTTTATAAGGGAGAGGGGGGGGGATGCTAGTAGATTAGGAGGGGGCTACAATTTCAGATTTCTGAGGTAGATTGCAGTCCACTTATCCCTTTAGAAAATAAGCTGAAGTGCAATGCAACAACTATTTATTGTATTTTATTACACATAAGTGACATTAGGCACCTTTAGTTGCCATATAGGCGAAATGGGAATACAACAATGGAGATATTAAAATGATCTTCCCTCTCAAAATAAGTTTTACAAAAGTACAAAATGTTTGTACCTGATCAACCTACCAAACAGGACTCATGCATAATTGCCTATATAGGTAGTGCTGATGTGTCACTGAAACGGAATCACAACAGACACATGATGCCATGTTTTGTAGTAGGACAAATGCCTTCTTGTTTAAAACAGACACAAGACACCATGGTACCAAACACCCACTATAGTAACTGAACTTGGAATTGATTTTATCAAACATAAATCCTATTCTTACTGTGTCTTGATGTATATGCACAGAGTTTTGGTTGAGAAGATCTGGGCTGGAAATGCACTTCCACATTTTCATCAATACTTCTACATCTGTTCATGTACGATGGTATAATTTCTAAACTATTTAATATACTAAGGCTTAGTTTGGAAGGAGTATAAATATAAATATATAGAGTGCAAGACCTTATATTTCGTATTATTTTGTATGTATTTATTCTATATATATTTATATTTATATTTCTTCCAAGGTTTAATTTGGATGGAGTATAAATATAAATATGTATAGTATAAATACATACAAAATAATACAAAATGTAAGGTTTTGCACTTTGCATACAAAATAATACATAAGGCTCAGTTTGGAAGGAGTACAAATATAAATATGTAGAGTCCAAAACCTTATATTTTGTATTATTTTGTTTGTATTTACACTATATATATTTGCATTTGCACTTCTTCCAAACTGAGCCTAAGTAACAAAAATTCATGAAACTTCATGATAGAGAAGGGGGTTCTGATTGATCAAACTCTCAAATGTGAGAGTGGATAGATAGTAAACTGTGTTTTCTGATTGATCAAACTCTCAAACTTCACGAAAGATGCATGAAAAGAGTGAACACACTTCCAATCCAGAGGATTGGCATTGTTAGTCAAGAGAAACTGTTAACCCATATACAATAGAAGACTACAATGGGGTCATTTCCTGAAATGATTTCCCTTTCCATCAAGGAAAATAAAATGTATTTTCCTTATTCTTGTCTCTCTTCTTCCTTTGAAACTAGTTCATTCTTTTCATCCTTGTCTTGCCCCAAGGTTTGGGTTTAAAATCTATTGCATCAACTGATCCAACTTTTCTCTAATTCCCTCCACTGTCCTACATGGAAGTTTTATTAGTTTTTTATTAATCAGTAGTAATGACTCAATAGCCTCAGGAATTCAAAATTTCATTTGGATTGCAGTTATGGGACCAGTACTCCAAAAAGCAGCAAGCATTATTCAATGTTAGAGAAAAAGCGTAGGAAAAGACTGCAAAACACGTTTCCCGATGAAATAAAGGACTCTACATTTTCTGGTACTTCTTTTCCAACCTTTTTTTTTTCTACACCTTGGCATTTTCTCTACATTTTCCCTTGTTTCCCACTTGGGCAGATATAAGAAGTCATTTCTGAATTTTCAATTCCCACTATGAGTTTTCCTCTTTGAATTAAGCTTGGTTTGTCTTAACCTTAAACTAGTTGGGTTTGGTTTAAAGCTATATTTAGTTATGATGTGGGCGGTTTGGCGTGTAGATATTGGCTTTTGTTGTTGGGTGGCTTGATTGGAACATGTGAACAACCACATCATGGTTGAAAACGGTGTCTGGGGGGAGGAAAAAAATAATCAATGGATTAGTATGAAAGCTTGAATGGAAAGAACAAGAAAGAAATGAAAATGAAAAACTCGTTTTTTCTAAGGTTTGCTGGCCCACCTTCATCATCCCACTCTGTACAATTTCAGGCTTCCTTGAAGCTTCCCTTTGGTATTAAAAAGGAAAAACATAGATAAACTCAATATGTTTGCCAAGACTTCAATGCCCATCATCAGGATAGTTGATAATTGTGATATGAAGGAGCTGTTTGATAGAGATTGAAGTGGCTGAAATGAATGACTTGTTATTTGTCTTTTAGCCAAACAAGCTGTTAAGTAGCTTGTGGTTATATGATTCACTAAAGGACAAAGCCATAAATCACTCAATTCAGCCACCTATCCCACGGGTATGAACTTAACTTGGAAGTCATGGGTTCATGGATTTTTATAGATATAGAATCCATTACTTAGGACCCATTTGAGAGGGTTGAGCTAAATGTTTAATTAAGCTCGTTTAGTTGAATTGAAGCTGGATATATAAGCTATTTAGATGGTGTTTGGAATTGATGCCGTTTTTATTTGATATCATTATTGTTGCTGCTATATAGACATTTTTCAATGCCACACCAATAGATTATTGTTAGAAACAGTAGAAAAAAACAGGAAAACATCAAAAAAGGCATTTTTTAGACCATACCTTTTCGATTTTCAAGACGTGGTTTGAAAAAATATTTTTTTTTTTTGAAAAATGGCTAATCAAATAGCATGCTAAACACTTTTCTGAAAAATTTCTAACATAACACTGATGTGGCACCATTTTATGAAGAAACAGCATCGATCCCAAACACCAAATAACCCTGTAAATGACTGACTTGACAGTCGATTTGGTCTCTCCAGTTTTTTTGAACCCAGTTGGGCGGACATCAACTTTCATTGAATTGCAATGACTGAGCTGCTTTGGAGAAACAATTTAAATTAGTTTCACAGGAAAATTAATTTCTTAGTTGAAATAACATAATTAATCTTGAGTTTTATAGGATTTTCACTAAACATAATTTCTAAAGCTTTCCGTGTGAAACCCACCTTGCAAGGATAAAAATCACTGTATGAGAATCATCCCAAACAAGCACTTTATCTAATATAGGTTATAGATTTGTAGACTGTTGGTATGGGGCCACCTAAAAAGCCAGATGCCACTGCACTTCAGCCCTCAGCCCTCCCAAACGGTC